AGGAGGTGGCAACACTGCCCACCTTCATAGATACACCATAGTAGAGAAATATCAGGTGAATAAACAAGTGGCATTAAAAAGTTTTTTTTAATTTCCCATCAACATTTTTACAATTTTTCGAAATCGAGTAAAAATATCGATCGGTCGAAATATAGTACCAGTTAAAATATCTGCACTTATTTCTGAGACACCCTGTATATTATAACTATAAATTATCTTAAATCAGTACATTTCATACAAACAATGTTTTTCGTGTAAAAATAATAGGTATTATTTATTTACTTAATTATTTATCTGATTATTCTACTGTAAATTTTCGGAGAAATTCAAACAACTATCAATTTGCCACATGCACAGGTGCATCCAGATGAAAATAATATTTTCCGTAAATTTAAACAGAATACCTAAATTATTGTCTTTATTTTATTAGACTTGGCTCGCTATTTATAAAATGTTGAAATTTTCCATTACTATAGCCAATTGCAGTCGTACAATACCCAGTTTAATACATAAACAATATAATGTATAAACTATAAAATAAATGAAATAAGATTTTATAGTTATACAGAATATATGCTTAAATATATTTATGGTTTTAGAGTACTATTAATTGAGTATTGTACATTATTTATGCTTTCCTACTAAATTTGGACCAATAGGAGGTAAGTATTACTAGGACAAGTACAATAGAAACAATATTAATTTCAAACCCAAGTAATGCATGTAACATTATATTGCTACTGAAACGAAGATAATTTCATACATAATTGAGAGAACATTCAATATTGATGTAATATAGAGGGAAGTTTGATATTCTCAGTAGTTGTTTAGAGCCATAAAAATAATTTAGCTCTAAATCATGAAAAGTGTTATGAACAAAAAAGAAGCGATCAATAATGATTGAAATAGTGGCCACTGTGTTAGAAGTGTTATTGTGTTAGAAGATTTTAGAATTAGTGATTGGTGTTGATACTAAAGCAGATTATAGATCGAAAAAATTTAGCAAATTATGTCAATTCATTGACGTCAGATTTTTAGCTTTTCTTTATCTTCTTGAAAATTTATAAGTTTCGACTGTGTTAAATGTTTTTTTTTAAATTGATATATTTTTCAACGGTACTAGTACGTTTCAATACTGCTGTGATAACGAAAAATGCCTTAACTACAATCGATTCACGTGTTATTATGAACATAAGAGTACTTTACAACAAAATGAAAAGCAAAAACATCTTTTCTTGCTTTGTTTTCGGAGTTACAATGAATATCCTATAATTCCACTTCTAATGTTGGTAGTCTAGAATTGGTTCGTCTAGTGTAAATCCGACTTTATTTATATTATACACTCACCTGCATAAAAAACGAAACGGGCACATTAAAATTATAATATAGGCCTATTTTAAAGTTTTATTTATTGTATTTTAGTAGAGACCGATTTTGATGAGTTTTGAAGTAATTTGTAGCTAAATTCTTTGATTTTTTATTATTTCTTTCTAAATTAAAAATGAAAGTTTCCATCTGTCTACTATACAAGGAAAACCAAATGATTATATTTTCGTGAAAGTTTGACCTAACCTAACACCCTGTGGAATATGTTAACAAATCAAGGACTTTAAAAATAATTCTATCATCTAGTTGGATCTTTTCTCGATAGTTTTTTATTGGTTCATTTCAATAATTTTATTTTTTTAAATTTTTTGAATAAAACGAATTTTTTCGTAATTTTTACATTAAAACCATGCTTTTTCTTTTTGTCCTAGTCAAAACCCAGTGAGCATTTTATTCCTTTAAGGGAAACGTGTTCTAGGTGACGTCGTTGTTACGTTACCAGGCCCTTCTTTTGCTTGATAAAAAACAATAAAACGCAGATACGTAATTGTTCCTTAATGTTTGCTAAATGTGAAAAAAACTTTGCTCACTTCGAAGATCTATGAAATAGTTTTTATGATTTATGTAATGTCACTGTAATTGAAAAATCATATAATTATTGTCTATTGGGCACTCTAGCAGTGATGGTTTTAAGTTCAGAAGTTGTTATCCGCTATAGTTTCTTTAATTGAAGATGGTAGAGATTAAAATTATGCCGCTAAGGCGCGGTCTCTTTAGGTATTAATAAATAACTTTTATCTAACAAATAACCATCTAAAAGATAAACAATCTAGAGCCTGATATCTATAGGATATAACATTTGGGTATTTTCATACAAAATAATCCAATAGATAACAATTTGGAGGACGGCCGCCTACGGACCGGTAGACACTCCGTAGAGAAAGTGTTGCCAATATGATATCTGAAATTGAGATGGTTATATATGAAAAGTCGATACAACAGACAGAGACAAAAACTCGGAATTTCAAATCGTTAGATTAAAAAGTGAGGTTATTGTTCAGTTGTCAAAAGATCGTCAAAATGAAAATAAAAACAATAAAATTCAACTAAAATATATTTTGTGTTCAACTCCCAACTAGTCCTATTATGGTATAGGCTATTTAAATTTACCTTTATGGAAAAAGGGAAAGATAATTCAATTTCAGCAGTGGTGGTGGTGCAATAGATCTTTTGATGGAATGCGATTTATAAGAAATTAAAACAAGAAAAAATAATCTGTAAGTAATTTAGAGTTTAATTACATGATATTACTGTTATATTTATTATATTAACATTTTAGTACAATTGATAATAGAAAATATGGAAGAAGCTGGTGAAGTGCAAGCAGAGATTTATAAACCAATCCTAAAACCACCATCTGGTAAGTTATTAATATTGAAAATTAAAAATAGCATAAGACTGTTAGTAATAACAAATATGTTGTTCTAGGGCTTTTCATAGTAAAGAAATAGGTAGGATAGCATCAATGATAGTAATTAAGGTGAGTTTTTATTTTATAAAATAGATAAATGCACTTATACTTTTGTCTTAATAATAATAAATGAATAGTACCTATAATAATTGTTACATTTACACATTATATGTACGTACAAATTATTTAATAAAAAAAAATAAAAACAATTTCGTCATATTACTTTTATTTTTAAGAACTCCAAGTGATGGAACTTCAAAAAAAAAAGAAAAAATAAAGGAAAAATCTTGTCTAAACAAAGCTGAACTAACTGGAATTCAAAGGACCACAATACAGATGTTTTAGCAAGGTTTAGCTAGATAGTTAATTAAAAACAGCATGGAGAGATAATACCGTATGATCGAAAAACGGCGTCAGCAATGGCTATGAAATAAAGATTGCTGTCATTTCATATGTAAATTTATATGGGAAATATCATCGATCATCATTTCCCAGCCAACTGGACGCCGTTTTTTCGATCATACGGTATAAGGTACATAGTGCAAGAAATTACACTAAAATTGTAACACAAAAGAAATAAAAGCAAATGTGAGTTGAATAACAGGTTTTATAAGGTTCCTGTTATAATATTAATGAATTAAGATATGCGAATTAAAAATGAAATAAATAGTTTGATTTAAAAAGTTTTATTTATTTTTTACCTACTTTAGAGCTTTATTAAAAACTAGTTGAAGCCCGACGCATTCGCCATGAGATCAGGAAAAAGAAATACTTTTTATTTTTTTAATTAAATGAAAAACAAAAAATCCGGCGACGACAGTTTTTGGAAGAGCCATTTAGCTATCTTTTAGTAAAAAAAGCAACTTTCTAGAGCAAGTCGTTACTTCAGTAGAGACAACACAGATAAACATTAGCATTTTATATAATATGTAGTAATGGTTTATAATTGAAAGGATTTAAATAAAATAATTTATAAATTACTGTTTTATCACTATTATCCTAACTTAATGCATTCTCTTCGTTCTGATGCTCTAACAGAACAGAGACTCTCTTTATTTTGTAACAGTCCTTATAAAGTCCGGCACTAAATAGTTTTTTGCACCATTTCAATGTGTTTATTGGTGTTTATACCCCATACGTTCTAAAATGATTATAGCCTACATACTCAGAATAGGTAAGTCCTTTCCAAATAATCTAAAATCGAATTTATTGGAATAAACGAAATCTTCAATAATAACAATGTCTTGGTTATGTTAAGCAATTTTGTCAAATATCAAATAAAATCAATATCTCCTCATGCCTTTGCTCATGCGGTAAATTTTTATCCGACAAATAAAGCACTATTTGGCAGTTCGGGCGCCAGATAGGATATCTGGGAGATAAGTTTAATTTATCTAATAGATACTGTTATCTATAGGTGAAGATACGCGTTTTTCTGCTATCCGTCAAATAAAATATATCTGGCAGATTATAACACGCTATCCGTACCTGAGAACACCGGGGGTAAGTGATTTAGGTGTGATTGAAGCTCGGGGGGATAATACTAAGTATTAGTAAGAATTTTCTATGTTTTTCTTTTTTCCTTTATTTAATCGGTATCTCTGATCTCTGATAATAAATTAGAATAAAAATTACGAAAAAATGTTAGTATCTTCTTCAAAAGCGAATATCTTCAACAAATATACAGATATTGAGATAAATCAAAAAACAAACTATCGAGAAAAGACGTACCTAGATGATAAAATTATTTTTAAATGTTAACTTGTTAACATATTTCACAGGGTGTTTCAAACCTTCACCAAAATATAATTACACCAAAAAAAAAATAATTTCACCAAAGTATAATTGACAGATGGAAACTTTTAAACCATTTTTAATTTAGAAAGAGAATATAAAAAGTGAAATAATTTTGCTACGAATTTCTTAAGAAAGCATCAAAATCGGCCCATTAGAACAAAATATATTGAACTTTAAAATACATCAAAATTTTAAGGTGCCGGCTTTTCGTGCAGGTGAGTGTATTTTATAAATTTATTGTCAACCAAACGAGGTAAATTAGAATAGCACACTATTTCAATCATTCTTGATCTTGTATTATGAATTGATAGAAACCATTGAATAAATACAAATTTTGAGTAATGGATATGTTTTCTCTGATACATTTTACTGTTAATTATTAATACTAATGCTAGTTTGTTTTTAGTCCTCTTTGTGCTCAGAAATGATTGTAGAGCTCCAGCATGCTTTCTGCTGTCAACAATCCAAAAAACCGATCAGGAAAAAAGACAGTTCCCCTGACAAAGATGGAAGATTTCATCCACCAGGTTCTTATACCAGTTATGGTTTTGTAACAACAAAAGATTCGATTTCTTAAATAACCAATCAACTAATTTTGTTAATTTTATCATCAGAAAGCTTTTTGCTGTGAAATCATATCATCGTTTTCGAATTAACTGACCAGAATTCAACGACGTGCAACGCGCCAATGAATTGCATTGTATTATAAATTATAAATGGTTCTTTATTATCACAATCAAGAAATTCTTGTATGAATTCTTACACACTGTTGCCAAAAAAATTATTTAAAATATTACATAATACTAATTACTAAAGTGTTAAAATTATTATAGATTTTTTTATTTAATTCTGGATGATGTAGATACTAAATTTGTGAGTGACCATTAGAATCTTGAGAGCTACAGTTAAAAATAAATGGTAATTGAATGAAAAAATTAACACTTTTGTCAAAACATAGATTAATTCGTATCTCTTATAATATACAGGGTGGCCCATCGAAAACATTCCGCAAGGCATAACTGTCAGGGTATTTTTTTTTTCAAAAAATCCAAACACACCTCAATGTTGTTTGTGAGGAGGACAACTTTTGCCTCAAAAATAATTGCAAAATCTTCAACCCTCTAAGCGGGGGTGTCATCCCCCAACTTTTTTCAAAAGAGAAGGGGGATCAAGTAGTGCCGCAGTGAAAAAAGTTTTCTATTCTCTATATTTCCCCGCCTCGTTTTTGAAAATCGGTCGAAATTTGAAAAGTTTATTTAAACATTTATCAAAGTAAATGATAAGGATAAATTCCTTTGACCAATTTGAGGTTTTTTCTTAGTATTTCTAGATGTTTACGCATATTTTCACTTACCACAATGTTGAACGATCAGGTGCGGTAGTTGCTAGATAGCTGTTCTGTGACTTGTGCATTGAAGTTCTTCTCAATATCGTTAAACTGACCCACAATAGAATTTCCAAAAATACCAACCCACACAGTTCAATTTCTGAGGGTTTTGTGTGTGCACCTCGTGAAAAACCCTGGGGTTGTCCTCAGCCCAGTACCGACAGTTGTGCCGATTAACTACACCGTTCAAAAATAAAGTACACTCATCCGAAAAACACACATTAAATAGGAAATTATTATCATTCGCCACTCGTTCACTCATAGTCTCACAAAATTCACAACCAAACCAAATCAAAATCGTCTTCGTTGAGTTCTTGTACCAACTGAATTTTGTACGGGTGTTTTTTTAATATCCTTTGGACACTTGTACGATTCACGCCGGTCCTATTGGCTAATTTTCTTGTACTGAGCGTATTAGCCAAGGCAACTTGGTCCAATACGAATATCTCCATAGCTTCATTTACTACAGGATTTTCCCTCTGCCTCTTTTTATTCATAACGGAACCAGTTTCGCGAAATTTTGCTACTAACTGGCGAACGATTTTGCCATAAAGGTGTTTGTCAGGATGGCGTTCATTGAATATCTGCGCAACCCGATTGGCAAACATCTAGAAATAATAAGAAAAAACAGCAAATTGGTCGAAGGAAAAAAAGATTTTGCAATAATTTTTGGGGCAAAAGTTGTCCCCCTCACAAACAAAATTGACGTGTTTTTGAATTTTCAAAACAGACCGTTCAAAAAGAAAGTACACTCATACGAAAAACACACATTAAAGAGGAAATTATTATCATTCGCCACTCGTTCACTCATAGTTTCACAAAATTGCAAGCAACGATCAAAATCGTCTTCGTTGAGTTCTTGTACCAACTGAATTTTGTACGGGTGGAACTTGTGTTTTTTTAATATCCTTTGGAAACTTGTACTATTCCCGCCGGTCTTATTGGCTAATTTTCTTGTACTCAGAATACTGTCCATGGCAACTTGGCCCAATACGAATACCTCCATATCTTCATTTACTACAGGATTTTCCATCTGCCTCTTTTTATTCATAACGGAACCAGTTTCGCGAAATTTTGCTACTAACTGGCGAACAATTTTGCCATAAAGGTGTTTGTCAGGATGGCGTTCATTGAATATATGCGCAACCCTATTGCCACGTTCATTATTTTTAAAATAAAGTTCGATTATTTCCAATTTTTCTGCAAGTGGGTACACCACAATTATTGTTAAAAAGTTTAACGATAGTGAGAAGAACTTCAACGCACAAGTCACAGAACAGCTATCTAGCAACTACCGCACCTGATCGTTCAACCTTGTGGCAAGTGAAAAAATGCGTAAACATCTAGAAATAATAAGAAAAAACAGCAAATTGGTCGAAGGAATTTATCCTTATCATTTACTCTGATAAATGTTTAAATAAACTTTTCAAATTTCAATCCGTCATATTTTCTCAATGACTCCACCGATTTTCAAAAACGAAGCGGGAAAGTATAAAGAATAGAAATCCCTTTTCATTGCGGTTCCACTTGACCCCCCTTCCCATTTGAAAAAAGTTGGGGGATGACGCCCCCGCTTAGAGGATTGAAGATTTTCCAATCATTTTTGGAGCAAAAGTTGTCCCCCTCACAAACAAAATTGACGTGTTTTTGAATTTTCTGAAAAAAAAATTACCCTGGCCGTTATGCCTTGCGGAACATTTTCGATGGGCCACCCTGTATAAAATAATAAAATATTTGGAAATGGCATGACTTTAAGTTAAGAAAAAATAAATAAAAAGTGGGTATATCGACTCTTATTGTTGACCTCTACAGTTCGACAATACGTCGACCATGTCGACATTGTTTACATTGTCAATTTAAAGATATAGAAGGCACAGGCATAGTGGTTAGGTTTGTCATTAGAAGAGGAATAGTAATAATGGTTACTCATTTTACCATTCCTGATTGCCTAAGATCGAGGTGCTACACCAATGACTAAAGAATACGAGGACATGTAGGGCTGGAGCAGAATTTGTGTTGTTAGATGCCATTCTGTTGGAGGAACGGATGTGTCATCAGCGACAATTTTAGCGACTTTTGATACTTTATTGTGTGCCCCCACTGCACTTTGTATAAATTCATACATATTACAATGGTGATTTGTTCCGATTTCAAATGGATAAGCTGCAACGATAAAAAAGAGCCAGGAGTTACGTTTTCATAGGTAAATAAACAATCCACTCCACCTTTTTAGCACTTTCTTATTGAATTTTATAACTATATTTCTGATATTATATTTTATGTACTTCATATATGTGCTATATGTCGATACTAGTTTTGTACCTTCTTAAGTAGTATGACCACACCTAAATATGCAGCATACACCATAGGCGTAGTCAAAGCATTTATCAAATATACAAATATCTTGTCAAGTAGGTAAGTTAAGAAAAATATGTGGCACGGCACTGTTTGGAGGTATGGTAACAGTTTTGTCTGGGGTATTATTGGTTTTTGTTGTATTCTTAGTGATGCTTCACCAGGTCCTTGTTGTATTCTTTAGTCATGTGCTACACTATTTTTCGTGTCTTTCCTACTTTGCATAGTTTTTTTTTGTTAAAGCTATAACTACTTGTTAAACTTTGTAGCTGTTGCATCTATCTTTTAATCATGTATAAAATTCAGTGCTCATATCATATTTAAAAACTACATGTTTGAATTATCTTCAGTATAAAACATACCCTCCGGATCCTCAATGAAGCCAGTAAATGATAATCGATGATATAGTGTTCTCAAGGCATTCATAGCATAACTCTAATATCACTGCTGGTATTCAGAGAAAATAATTTGGCATTTATTTATATCTTAAATTGATTTGACAAACCATCCATTCTGAGTATATTTGTTTCAATAATGTAACCCCCATGATCACTTACAAATCTAGTAACGCATTACATTAAGATATACAGGGTGGTCCAAACTGTATTTCGAAAACTTCGGCAGCATATTCTGCAGATAAAAATAAGTAAAAAAGTATAATTATATATATAGATTTGTATAAATGTATGTCATAAAATGCTTAGTTTCGGAGATACAGGGTATAGAAGTTTCATTTTTATTTCGATTTTTTCCAAACAATTTCTGAAGTAAGGTCAATATTTCTATGAAAATTGGTGTCTGGGAGTTTTGTGGCACGAGAAATTTGATTTTGATGTCAAAATGACTTCTATTTGTAAGGGGCGCCACCTACATGTGTTTTAACTGTTTTGAAGAGTAATAACTTTTCGTCCGTTCCGGTATAAAACTACTGAAAAAATATACATTTCCATGACTTTTTACGTAAAAAATGTCTCTTAGTAAAAATCGCTACGAGCGACCGTTCTCAAGATATTTAGAACCGTTCTCAAGATATTTAGAATGGAAATAGTCAATACATGTCATTATTGACAAAAAATAAGCACACACGTTGAGTATAGCTATATGACTGACATAATAAATTTTTATCTTTTCTGCGAAAAAATTATGATTAAATAATTTCTGTTGAACTTTTGGCACAAAAAGGTTTCCAATTTATGATTTCAGTTTAATAACTATTCAGTCAACATGTTTAATTATGTCAATGATGACAGGTATTGATAATTTCGATTCCAAATATCTCGAGAACCATTACTCTTAGTGATTTTTACCAAGATACCTTTTTTATGTAAAAAAAGTCGCAAATGTATATTTTTTTACTCAGTAGTTTTATACAGGTATGGACGAAAAGTTATTACTCTTCAAACCAGTTAAAAAATATGTAGGTGGCGCCCTCTACAAGTAGGAGTCATATTGACATGAAAATCAAATATCCCATGTCAAAAAAATTCCAGACACCAATTTTCATCCAAATATTGGCATCACTTCATAAAATATTTGGAAAAAATCGAAATAAATATGTGACTTCACCCTGTATCTCCGAAACTAAGCATTTTAGGACATACATTTATACGAACTTTTTTACTTATTTTTATCTGCAGAATATGCGGCCGAAGTTTCCGGAATACAGTTCGGACCACCCTGTATAATAAAAATATTTGCAAATATTTTAAAATAAATATTACAACTTTTTTTTTTATTTTTGTATCCTGATAATCAAACTTCTATCGCCTTATTATACTTATTTTCTCATAAAATTATATTTTTCTTAATATATAATATTAATAGCTTCACTACAAAAGACAAGAACAATCACTTTATTTAGTTGATGAGTGTATATGAAAGCGTAAATAATGAAACAAGTGTGATATTTTATTATCAAATTATTTAGTGTATTAATAAATTATATAAATATGTTGGTTACAGTAGTATATTGTCCAATTTTTTGAATTAGAATTTAAAATTTAAAATGAGTGGCAGGGAGGTTAATCACTGCGGCTTTACAGATCTGCGTACGCATTTTTTTGCAGGGCTATAGTTTGAAAAAACATTTAATAGCCGTACACCTGCTTTATGTGCGAATTTTCTGTTTAAAGCTTGTCAGGCCAAGGAGACTACCCATTCGTCGACCGGTTTCGGAGTTGTACTTCATCATCAAGACGACTGTGATAGTCTAACTCGACCTGGCAAACTCCAAACAGGAAACGTACAACGTGCATTTTCTGTTTGGAGCTTGCCAGGTCGAGGTAGACAATCAAAGTCGTCCTGATGATGGAGTATAACTCCGAAACCCGTCGACGAATGGGTAGTCTCCCTTGGCCTGACAATCTTTAAGCAGAAAATTCGCACATAAAGCAGGTGTACGGCTATTAAATGTTTTTTACAGATCTATTGTGTCCCCATTTCTTGAGTTATAACTCATCGTACAGTCCCAGGGCTTTGGCAAAAGCCAGTATCTGGGACGGTTTTATAGGAGGTAGTTCTCCATCTCCAATATCAGTCGTACCAGAGTTCATGGCACGAATGGTTGTCGTCTCGGCGCACTCAGTGATGAGGTGTTCTGGTATTTCCCCATTTTTCCCTCAGAATCTTCATTCGCCGTTTCTTCTTAGTTTCAATCGGTGAGGTGTTCATTGAGAAGACAGTGTCCTGTTAAAAACCCCGTGACAATCCGAAGATTGTTCTTACTTAAATCCAGGAAGATCTTTGATTTTTCTTGGTCGTCAGCCATCAGAAACTTCTTCGAGTGTCTTAGACCATTGCAAGATTCCCATTCCAGGTTGCGGATGGAGTCTTCCAAGTTCTAGAGTTCCGCCTTTAGTTGGTTCCCACTTGGGAAGCAGAACGGTTCTGGTCCAGTTAGTGGAGTGTTCGCTCCTTTTCTAGCTAGATCATTTGCGTTTTCATTGTCTTCTATCCCTTGGTGAGCAGGAACCCAGAGTAGGAGGGTTTTGTTTTCTTTGCCTAATTTATTCAGCTTTTCTGTGCGTTCTTTGACTAATTTTGAATTGATTGATACTGAGTTGATCGCAATTTTTTGAAACTTTTAGTTATAATAATTAATAAGCAAAATTAAAAGTGTCCCAAATATCATTTTCATTCAATCCACTCACTTAAATAAATAATTCAGTTACAAATGAATATTAGCACTTGGTTTCATATATCGTTCGTTTTGCCAATTAGTTGTTATAACAACCGTTTTTCAATTCATAAACTTATCAATATTCAATTAAATTTAATGAAATGTTTAGCAAGAATTAATTCAATTGGTTCGGCAATATGCTGCTGTGCATTTTACTAGATATTTTAATTTGTTGAACTTGTAAATGTTAAAAGTGTTACGTGTGTTTTTGAATTTAGGGGATAAAATTGTGTTTGATTTATTTTAAATTTTGATTTGTCTGTACATATATCGGATTAGGGAACACTGATATATTTTTCATCAATGAAATATACCGGGTGCGTCTCAAAAGTGGCTCACCCCCTATAACTTTTTTATTTTTTCAGATAAAAAAACGAGATTTGGTATGTTAGTATATGACCTAAATTGGGATTGATTGACGTATTCAATTGTTTTTGGTCACTTCCTGTTTTACCGAAAATGACTATAACACACACAGTATTTTTTTACTTAATTCGACAGAAAATAACATTCTGAGTAGAATGATATATCCTATATGTCAATTTTTGACATTTTCGAATGATGGTATATTTGAAATTGTAACATGGGGATCATAACGGCAATTTGATTCGAAATACCAAGTGTGTGGTACCAAATTATTCGTAAAAAATGTTTTTTCCAAATATGATAATGAGCCACTCTCGTTCGTTTGGGTTGTAGGTGGTTGTATCTTAATGGTTGTATCTTTTAACCGGCTAGGACAAGACACGAAAAACATTAGACGAACAAATGTATTTTTCCAAGGCTCCTTGATTAAAAATTAGTGTTTTTAACACAGCCATGGTATTCTAGATTGTAATTTAAAATTCTGGAGGATTTCTGGAGTTGAACTATACTACCAGTTGAAATACTTGCACTTATTTCTGAAACACCCTGTATTAATTTATCCAAACTCGTTTTTTTTACTGAAAAAAAAAGTTATAGAGATGAGTTGCTTTTGAAAAACACACCGGGTGCTTTATAAATATAAATCTATATAATATAATATCTAAATTTTCCACATTATTGCAATTTTAAGGAAACAAATAAGATAAGTATCCAATATATCCAATATCATCTGGATAGTGGTTATATCTGGATGGGTATATTTTAATAGTTTAAATATAAATATTTTATGTGAAAATATTTGTAATTTTAGTTTCCCAAAAATATATTAGTGTTATTTAAGCCGATATTTATTATATTATGTACTTAAAATTTATAAAATTAAACAAATACATTAGACTATATAAATATATAAACTTAAGACAAAGGAAACTAAAGTATGAATGAAATCATAAGTGTCATTTTGTGTAATAAACCTATAAAATAAAGTGTGCTATATCAATTTCCTAAGTAGTTTGTTTTACTTTTTTATTAAATTTAAAATAAAATATTCTGCAGTAAAGAGAATTAACGAAATAACACTTTCGACATACTTATTTAACATTAAAAATAGACCATAGCGCTTCCTCGTATTTCTAAAAATATATTCAGTTTGTTGCCATCGGTATTAAAGCGCATAACAGGTTATAATCAACATTTTGTATTTTGGATTTTGATTTTCTTATCGTGCAGTGTTTTAGGATATATTTCTTGGAGAAAAATGATGGAGGATGTAAAATACTTTATTGTTTTGCTTTTTGCGTCCAGCATAAGTCCGCTGAAAACTCAATATAGAATAGGTAAGTAGGAATATTTCAAATACAAAACACTCTCAACATCAATGACAATTATTAATTTTTATGTCTGTATATGTTAATTTGACTTGCGAAATAGTTTTACTAATATAGTAACTAATTTTGATGAAGTTAATTTTTGTTTAAAATATTTTTAAAAATATATACAGGGTGTCCCGGAAATAAGTACAGATATTTAAACTGGTATAAACTGGTAGTATATTTCGACCCCGGAAACACATCTATGAGGTTTTTTGAAAATTTGGAATGTTTTGAAACAATTTTTGAATTTTTATTCGGTTTTTAGTTAAAAAACATTATTTCTTGAGAATATAGCAACATAGGTGTAATAGATTAAATTTACAAGAAGGAAAACCCAGGAAAGATCCAGTGGTTATGAAAAATTTAAGCAAAAAATCATTTTTTTTTGGAAATTTACAAAGTAAAATATCTCGGTTATTTTGGACTTCTTTGAAAAACGATAAAGAGAAAATATGTTTCTTTTATCGAAATCTACCACCCCTTAAAATATCTGTACTTATTTCTGGGACACCCTGTGTATTTATGGCAATGGTAGTGTCGAAATAATTTTTATATCTCATCTCAATTTATTCTATAATTGTTTGAAACTTACTATTAACAAAGTTTTTATTAGTGATGGGATAACTCGATTATTGAAATAACCAACATCGCTCGATTATGAACGAGCGATGAAAGTGATGAGTTACGAGCGACGAACGCAAGCGATCCTAGAATGAAATAAATTGAAATCCGATTTTAATGTGACACTGGATACAAAGCCGAGCGAATTTTATACATACTTTGCAGGTAGCAAATTTATACGATGTTATCCGTTGCGTTACAAAATGTTACGATCTACATCAACATTACTTCAAAGTAAACTAAATCAAGCGATTCCTCGTCGCTTGCTACTTGCCATTCATCACCAAAAGAATATATACTCTGCGCACGCAACTTACTGCTTGGCGTTACGAGTTACAAGTACAAGCGACAAGCGACGGGCGAAAACCCGTATTTTTAATACGAGCGACACTTCGCTCGAGCGATCGCTCGATTATTGAAATCGCTTGAAACTTGCGTCCTCGATTATTGAAATTAGTCGGTTTTTCCCATCACTAATTTTTATATATTTCTAAAATATAAAACACGAACATATTATTACCCAAAGCGGTTAGCTGTCAAGCGATAGACGCATGAGCGCCGGACAGGGGGGGCAAGAGGGGCATTTGCCCCCCCCTGGATCACTGAAACAATAAAAATAAAAGCTATCTTCTTACATCCATCTGTAAAAAAATAATCATTATTATGAAATTGTTAGGTGTTACCTGTAAAATAATAAAAAATGTGGTAATTATTGGGAAAACTGGAAATCGTCCGATTTTCACCAAAATTGGTATACACACTATTTTGAGGTCGTAGATTACGAATCTACTTTTTTCTTGGCGGTCTCTTACCGTTTTTCAGAAAAACGGAAAATTATTTCAACATTGAATTTTTCTTTATTTCGGCCCAATAAAGTAATAATTTCACTGTGTTTTCATTATATTATCTAAAAGTCAATCTAAAAGCCACACTTGATTGGGGATAGAAAAATGTCCAACATTATACTGAAAAACACTTTTCTTAACAAAATAGCAAAGAAAATTGAGACCAGATGGAAGTTTGACATTTGATATATCCTTCTTTCTCTCTCCTATGTAATAAGAGAGACAAATATAGTCTAGACCTAATCTAGAAATTTGAAAATTTACAACGTTGCCATATCTTCTATTTTTTCGGGTAATTAGGGATTTTAAATAAATTACCTATTATGAGATCGACAATAATTAAATATACAATTATATCCACAAAATTACGCGGAAGAGTTTTGATTGCATTGGTTTTAACTTCTTTGCGGAGGGGGTTAATCTTTTTTTGATATAACAACAAAAGATTAACACCCTCTGCATGGAAATTGTAACCAATGCAATCGTGCAACTTCGTGGGTATAAATAGTCAGATCTCGTTGGTAAAATATCAGTTATGGGCAGGAGCCGTTCTTCTGGCGACCGCCTTTCGTAATTCCAGAATGAGCGAAAAAAACACGCTAAATTTAGGTTTAGCATTGGCAGCGTTGCTTTAAATGCCAGAAACACATAAGCTTACTTCGGGTTTCTCTTATTACTGATTCTGAACCGTCCTAGAACTGTGATGCGTATGCGCAGAAGGAAATATGAAGACATTATTTCATTTGCGCATGCGCTGCAGAGTTCTTGGACGGTTCAGAATCGGTAATAACAAGAACCCGAACAAAGCTATAACCTAACATTTTCAGATTGTTTACAAATTTATTTTAGCAAATTTTCCTCTATTATGCATAGAATTGGTTAAAAAAGTAACAGAAAATAGCAAAAACATTATTGATTATTGAATACCTAACAAAATATGTGCAAGAAAACCTTAAAAATATGAGAAATTAAGAAAAATTCGATATTGAAATTATTTTCCGTTTTTCTGAAAAACGGTAAGAGAAAGCCAAGAAAAAAGTTCAGATTCGTAATCTACGACTTCAAAATAGGGTGTATACCAATTTTGGTGAAAATCGGACGATTTCCAGTTTTCCCAATAATTACCAAAAATGTCAATTTTTTATTCATTTTTACCTTGCCCCCCCCCTAAATTTCATTCTTCCGGCGCCCATGGATAGACGCAAATGAGCAGAAATCAGTTTGTTTTTGACAGTATAGCGTGTGGCGTCTTTTGCAATTTTGCATGCACAAAGTTGGCAATATTGGCAAGTGTTGTGTATGCCGAACAACGTTGTCAAATAATCAAAAATTATATCTTTTAATGAAAAGGTGATATGAGATTGAAAAATTGCTGTATTTTTTCTACAATATTGTGATGTTTTATTCTACAATATAATATAGTATTATTTGATGTTCTTATTCTATAATATTCAAAAAAATTGCAAAGGTTTTGATGCAATTGGTAGAAAAGTGTATGATATTTGTTTTGTGTTTTTTCCTATAATCACAGAATATCTAGCTACGCAACAGAAAAATACTCGAAATGAAAGAGCTAAAATTGCACAAATAGAATACTAGATGGCGCGACAATATCATAATCAGAATATGATTAGAAATTTTGAACTTTCGGTTTTGGATCGACGGATCGTCGACGGCCTTGTAGCTCGGCTAAATATGCACAGTTGCCAGATTCAAAAAGACTTGAATTGACATCCCATTCTTTTATTGTGTATAAAGCAGTATGTGTTTCTTTCTATTCTTCTTTTCTTGTCAGATACACTTATATAAATTATTCCTTTGGCTATTAAAATAGTTTTAAGTATATTATTACAAAACATATACATTTTTAATATACACTACCTTATAATGTTAACTAAGAAAATACCTTTAATTACCTTTAAAATTAATAATATACAGGGCGATTGATAGTGATATTTATTAATGCTGGAACGTTAGTAATGAAATATATAAGTTTAATAATAATGGAAATAATTTATTAAAATGCAGTACAAAAAATGTTAACTGACTAAAAAATACTATAATAACAAATTTCTTCCGTTTGCCACGTGATTTATATAGACCTGGGTAGATTTTAAAAAGTGACACAGGTACAATTAATAATATATTAGTTCGGCATAAAAGTTGCTGTCACCGACATCGAACAATAAATTAGAATTCGTAAAATAAATTAAAATTATTAATTAAACAAATCTTTATAAAGAAACGCAAGTATACCAAATTTGGGCCCAATCGAACTCCAGGAGATGATATCATAATAGTGTACTATATTATGGTACCACTCGATATGCTTAAAGGTACCATAATATTGCAATGTCACCGAAGATCCGTAGTATACCAAATTTAAGAACAATCGAACGCCAGGAAATGGTATCGTAATATGGTACTATATTAAGGTACCACTTTATATGCATAGTACCATCATATTACATCAATGTCACCGGAAATACGTAGTATCCGAAGTTTAAGCTCAATCGAACGCCATGTACGTAATATAGTACTATATTATGGTACCAGTTGATATGCTTCACGGTACCATAATAATGCAATGTCGTCAAAAGTACGCAAGTATATATCAAATATAAGCTCAATCGAACGCCAGGAAATGGTATTGAAATATGGTACTATTTTAAAGTACCACTTTATATGCATCATAGTACCATCATATTACAATGTCACCGAAAATACGTAGTATACCAAGTTTAAGCCCTAATGCCGCCATGTACCTAATATTGCTATGTCATCAAATATGGTACTATAGAAGGTACCACTTTATATGCTCCATGGTACCATAATATTACAATGTCACTGAAGATATAGTATACCAAGTTTAAGCCCAATCGAACGCTATGTATCGTAATATGGTACTATATTATGATATCACTTGATATGCTTCATGGTACCATAATATTGTAATGTCATTAAATATAAGTATATATCAAATACCGTATGATACCGAAAAAAACGGCGTCCAATTGGCTGGAAAAGGACGATCGATGACATTTCCCATATAAATTTACATATAAAATGACAGCGATATTCGTAGCCATCGCTAACGCCGTTTTTTCCCGATTATACGATATGAACTTGGTATGAACGCAATCGAACGTCAGGAAGTGGTATCATAATAGTAGAACAACACTTATTATATTGTCGCCGAATTACAATGAAAATTCAGGATTCAATTATACAATCAAACGTCAGGAAGTGATTGTAATTTAGCTAATAAGATTTAATTCCAACTAACATGGCAAATTGAAAAAAACAGCTCTGATCTATTTTAAAATGTTTAAATGATGTAGCAAATTTGAAGGTAGGCTTTATCAGGAAGTATTACGATATGAATTACACAATGGCAATACTGCACAAAATTCTTTTAAATTTTGTTTGTAGAAAACTGTTTTCTTTTAAATTTATTGCCCTCTATTATGTAGTAGCGAAACTACCGCATCAAAATATCTGATTTGGAGACAGGCTTTAAAAGCCTGTCTCCTTTTGCTACCTACAATTTTATACATGTAACGAGGCTTCTGTTACGTAGCTAGATATTCTGTGCTATAATGCATCATTACAGACATATCATTGTTGTCTTCTAATTTAAGATGAATATTTTCACTTAGTAATAAATTCTTCATGACCCTGCTCATCGACATCTTGATAGAAAGTGCAGACTTGCCATTTCTTTTGTTTGTTTTGAGTAGGCACAAATTGCAATAAAAGCATAAAAAGCTAAAATAACATTGATATAGCTATAAACGATAAACACGTTTATGTCATACTAATTGCATTCTCTGTCGCCGTACACTAATAGTACGCATGTTACAGTTTTTATTATTGGACGACCCTGTAGTTTAACGTTTACGCTAGATCTATTCTGATATAATATTTTTATTACTCATGCGGGGAAAGTAGTATTTTTTCGCATTCTTTTGAAGACGCTAATTGCCCACTTCACAATTACCACACTAGTTTCACTAGTTTTGAGCAAATTTAATATCAAATTTTATGTTGATGTAAATTTTCATTGGCACACGCAAATTGAAAAGCAAAAAAGACAGTCTAGAAGTGTCAATATTAAAGAAGTGAGGTTGACATTTAAATATTTTTTTTTATTTTTTGTTTATTTTATTACGCTGCTTTTTAATATGTCTCTTTTGTTATATTTCATCATGTAAACAAATTATTAAACACCATTATGAAAAAGCAACGTTAAAATTCCTTCATTTTCTACTCTAAAATTCGATTTAAAAATTTGAAGTTTTTAATGTCATCTTTTGCATTCATCTAAGAGGTTCCAAAATGTTCCAAAAGTTGTTGTTCTTGTCACGAGATTTTTAAAGTATCTTTTGCTTTTTAATAAGTTTTGTTTGTTTACATGATGAAATATAACAAAAGAGACATATGAAAAAGCAACGTAATAAAAAATAGTATGTGCAACTCGTGCGAAGTTGTCGACTGCCCACTCGAGCGAATGAATCAGCTTCTCTCTCGTGCGCAATCGACAACTTTTCGCACTAGTTGCACAATATACTATTTTTCCAAAACAGAAAATTTTTGATGTAGATGTATATTATAATTACAAGTAATATATAAATATTGAAAGAAGAAATAATAAATAGAGGTACCCTTAATAGTAATAAAATTATACAGGTTGTTTCAAAAAACATGTGCCATGTCTCGTGTAAAAAAAAAATAAAAAAAAAACATAAATTTCTATAATAATTATTGCTCATATCTACATTACCTACATGATGATATTTACTAACTATTTACCTGTATTAACATTATAGGAGGACTTTTTAACGATGTTGTGCACCAAGTAGCCTTCCAAGTTATAATTAACGATTTAAATAACGAGAATTTGGATTCGTCATTTGAATTTATACCAGATCCCTTTAATGCCTCGTATTTCAATAGCTTAGAGGCTAGGAAAGGTAAATATTAATTTATGAATAAAAGATTTAAAATTTAGTTGGTAGTACTCAGGCACATGTTTATACAATAGCAATCTTTCTTCAATATGTAATGTTCAACTGTTTTATTTTCTTTCTCCTTTTCTTCAAAATATATTCTAAAAATATTACCATGAGATTTTTAAAACATAAATAATGTTTTACATGTTTCTTTAGGAGTGTGCACACTTTTAGAACGAGGTGTGATAGGTATTTTTGGTCCTAGCTCGCTACATACATCGAACTATATTCAAGCCATATGCGACCAAAAGGAAATACCTCAAGTTGAGATTCATTACGATAGCAAAATTGACAGGAATAAGTGTGTTGTTAATCTACACCCTCATCCAAATGAAATATTTCAGTTCTTTAAACATTTGGTAAGTTAATTTCTATAGATGTTTTCAAAATTTTATTTATAATTTATTAAATATTAATTAGAATTTAAAGCTCTATATTCTTTATTATAATTTTATTTTAGATTGTTTCTCTTGGATGGGACAAGGTAGTTGTCCTATTTGAAGATAACGAGAGTTTACTAAGAGTTTCGCCACTGCTCGAACTAAATATGGAGTATGGGGTGGATCTTATTTTCAAACAATTGGAGAAAGATAGTACAGGAAGTTACAGACAGGTAAATAGACAGACAAAGTTTTTCATCTTTACTTTGAATGTAGTAGTCAATTATTCAATATTAAAACTTCAAGAACTTTGGACTTCCATTGTCTTTATTTATTTTACTTACAAAACGCCCAACGTTCGAAGTCCGAAATGCTTTTAGTTTTAATATTTTTTATGTTTACATTCACAACATGGACTAACATACCGCATCGGCAACATAGCGTCTTGGGTCGGTATTTACATGCTTACCGAAAAAAGAAAATAAGGATTATTGTGACAGAAAAAAAAATCGTACTTTATGAATTATGAATACTTCATACACTAGAAAAACAGAAGGAGATTGATTCGGAAACAAATAGGGAAGCAGTTGCTAAAAAGATTAATAAAATTTAAGAAGTTGTTTTAGAAAAAAAAACACAAAGTCTTAAAGAGCAATAATTTAGCGGTAAACTGCACAGTTATAACTCCGCAAACTGGCCTGCACAGTCTGCCTGTGTTAAAGAACTGAGCGTCTGTGAGTGCTCTAAAAATTATAATTTTTTGTCAAAAATCTGTAAAGATATATATTTCATTTTCTTTATATTAATAATATTCTGTTTTATTTTAAAGATTTTAAATATTCTAAAGAAGATGCCAGAGAAAAATATAATATTAGATTGTTCAATTAATGTCCTAGAAGAAGTACTAACTCAAGCCCAACAAGTGGGAATAATGACAGACGACTACTATTATATCCTAACAAATTTGGATATGGGAGCAATCAACCTAGAACCATTTAAATATGGTGGTGCCAATATTACTGGGGTAAACAATTATTTGTTCCATAACTTAATCAATGTTAATTTTAATTTAATTTCTCTATTTCAGGCTAGAATTTTTGATCCAAAAAGTGAAAGAGTTTTAGAAATCAACGACAAAATTTTGGATATCTTGAGAATTCCTGAAGAAGACAAAGAAATGTGGACTATGAGACTTTCTACTGCCCTACTAATAGACGGAATACATTTATTTTATAATGTTATTAAAGAAATGACTTCAGTTCAGAATGAAATAAGAGCTGAGAGTCTGGATTGTAGAGACTTCAATTCGTGGAAATTTGGATATACCTTAGCCAATCAAATAAAAGGAGTAAGTCTGAGTATAAGTTTAAAATTTTATTATATCGTATTGTAAATTTTAGAATGATTTTCATGGAGCTATCACTGGAAGTATTAAATTTGACGTCGAAGGTTTTAGAAGAGATTTTAATATAGAGTTATTGGAACTAACAGAACCTGGTTTGATAAAAGTTGGAGAGTGGAATACAATGAAAAAAGTGTTGCATATTAAGAGGCCACATAATGAGGTTGTGGAGGAAGGCACTACTACTGAACCAAATTTATTTAATAGAACTTTTAAGGTTATTACGGTTTTGGTAAGTCAAGTGAATAAATACACACACCGGAAAAATCTAGGGATATCATTTTATTAAAGTTAAAAATAAATGTTTTGAATAAACAACCACATATTTGTAGGCCGATTCTTTCTACTTCGATTGAAACGAAGTAGTCACACTAGTTATTTCTAAATTTGGGATATTTGCAGAAGTGTTTGTGCATTTTTTGTCAAATGTATAAAAAGCACCTAGCATCAATTGTTCGAATTTAACCTGTACTGGCTATGTTTTTATGATAACTGGCCAAAATTCATTCAAATAACTCTGTTTAGTATTAAGCGACATTATGGAGCGTAGACATCTTAATAGAGACGAAATGCTAAGGGCCATGGGTATGCTCGAAGCTGGAATGCGCCAAATCGACGTAGCTAGAGCATTAAATACAACGCAAAGTGTAATATCGCGATTAAGTGCACGCTACCGTGAAAGTGGTGATGTTGCTGAAAGGCACACAGGGCGACATCGCATTACTACCCCTCAGCAAGATCATTTTTTACAATTAAATGCTCGACGCCGACCGACTCTTACAGCACCAGAGCTTAGTTTAATTCTCCAGGAAACACATAATGTAACTGTTAGTCCTGACACTGTTCGCAATAGATTAAGAGAGGTCAACTTAAGAAGCAGACGCCGCTGAAGAGCTCAACCCTTAACGAGAGGAAATCGAGAGGTACGATATTTGTGCGCTCAAGATCATGTTCAGTGGTCGAATGAGCAATGGGCCAATGTTCTCTTCACGGATGAGTCACGCTTTGGAATTCATCCGGATTCGAGAAGGCTTAGGGTATGAAGAGAACCGGGAAATCTTATTCGGTTGGATCATGTTCAGGTAGTGCACCCTTATCAAGGTGGAACAGTTATGGTCTGGGGAGGACTCCAGTTAGGCCGAAAAACCGATCTCGTTTTTCTTGAAAGGTTTCTAACAGGAATCACATATCGTGATTTAATTCTTCTATCGTGTTACCATATGCTGATTTTGGGAGAAACTTCATTCTCATGCATGACAATTCACGGCCTCATACAGCCAGAGTGGGAAGTGAGTTTATCAATGCTCATCTGGCCGGCACAATCACCTGACCTCAACCCCAGGGAGCATGTATGGGACGCGGTCCAAAGAAAAATTTTGAGAATGGGTATGCCTCATGAAACTCGTAGGGATCTGGTTCGGGCCGTGAATGCAGCGTGGCAGGCTGTACCCTCAAGAAAAGATCGACAACCTGATCAGGAGCATGGAGAGACGATGTAGGGCTGTAATGAACAGTAGAGGAGGCCATACCCTTTATTAAGTAAAATTGGTTTTATCTTTTTTTTTAATTCACAGTTTAGGTTTAAAAAAAATGTGTGTATTTTTTTGAGTTCAATAAAACTCAAGGTAAATTTTAAAAATTCGGTAAATTTCGCATTTTTATTTCCAATACGTCCTGTAAACTATTTGTTTATTTTAATTTTATTATATCAGAAATGCAAATAATAAAATTACTGACGATGGCTGGATAAAACTGTAATATCCCTAGACCTTTCCGGTGTGTGTACATAATGTTACGGTAATCGCAAAGCAATTTCCGATACACGTGATCAACTTTGAGTGACAAGCGATGGCGACAGCGTAAGTATCCAGTAAGAGGGTACTATTATGCACAAACTAATAATCACACAATTTAACTAAACTAACATTAACTAAAAACTAACGTAGAAATAACTTTTGAAAGTGGTATAATGTGCTTATCAATCAAACTTACTTTCTGACTGCAAGCGAGGGTAATAAAGGACCTTTATTCAGGGGCGAATCCTCCTTGAATGCAACGCATGCACTGCATGCCTAAGAATACTTTAAAAATCTACTATTTATTATCAATATTTTCTATTCATATAGGTAAATAATATACTGTGTCAAATAATCCCATAATCGGTATCAAAATACGGAAATACTTAATTTTAAATTACTGCATGCATGATTATTATGTGCATTCAATCATTCAATCACAACAGATACGCGTATACTAAGCACGTCGAGGTCACTGACCCACACATCGATTCGGCAGGATTCGGCCGCTGCCGCTGCTTTCCCGGCAAATGCATGCACGAAACGAGATGGCTTTTTTTGGCACACAGTCAAGTTGACACACAGTGCAAGCGACATTCACCCGAGCGAAAAACGATCCTATCCGACTCAGACCGATCTCCAATCCACGGTGTACTAGGAATGGGCGTTTATATCGATAAAAATTTGACTAATAAAAGCAGAATGCAGAATGAAATGTATTTTGGCCATTTTTTAACTAATGTGCCTGATCAGTTTTTCAATTTTATTTTATATAAAAGATAAAATAAATCACCAATTTTAATTAAATAAATATCTTACATTATTTAAGAGTATTCGGGCATTTTTTCGGACATTCGACAATTCTTTTTTATTGAAAAAAAATTCCAACTTTTCAAATAATTTTTTCTCGAAAAATCCTTTATAGATGTGTTTCTGGGGTCGAAATAGACTACCTCTAAAAATAGTTGCAGTTATTTAAGACTCACCCGGTATATAAGTATTTTTGTTATTTTTTTACAACCGAGAAACAAATAAATGAAAAAAGATCAAGTAAAAAAAATACATAATTATGATTTTTTTTTATATAGAATATAAACAAATATAGAGCTGTTTACAGGGAGTTTTGTTGCAACTTGACTAAATATCTCCAAAAAATCCTATATGGGTATTTCTCCACTGCAAGAAAATCTACAAAATAAAATATAGTTACTTTTTGTAAACACTTCTGCGTTAAACCCAAACGGAAGTTACAGTTGTCAGAAGTTACAGTTGTCAGAAGTTACAATATAGAGCTGTTTACAGGGAGTTTTGTTGCAACTTGTCAGAAGTTTACAGTTATACAAATTTGCCTAACAAACAAAAAAATGCTTAACGTTTCGGAAAGTTTATCTCTTTCCGTCGTCGGAAGCAAAAAACATACAAAGAATAAAGAAAAAAACTATTTAAAATATTTATGACTAAATATCTGTGTTGGGCTGGTTATATAGTGGACTGTATTTTTTAATAGTTTTATTAACGTTTATATAAGAAATAACAATTGTTTTAATAAATCAAAGAAATGAAAATTCCTGCGACTTGCTGGGCTGACAAGAAGGTGGCACGGGTGGCAAGTGACAATGACAGAGACGGGTTCCCCCTAGAGGTGGGTTGTGAAATCGCAGTCCGCTACTTTGTCACAGCTCCACCAACGTCGCAGTATGTGACTGCTCCAGTTCCAAGAAAATCGCAGTGACATTTCGGAGCAGTTTACAAGTTTAGGACATCTGCGCTCGTGAGTAGCAATAGGAGCAATAGCAGGCAATAGTGTAAATTCTGAAAATGCTCCTAGCCCCGTCGCCCGGTCAGACTGTTCCAGTCACAGTCGTCGCAGGTCGCAGTCGACTGGAGCATAGTATATTGAGTATATTCTGTGTACTGGAGCTGTTGGGAGTTTGGGAACGGGAAACGTAGCAGCGTTCGCTTTTTCTTTCATGAATCTAAATAAGATATTTATGTATTATATATTAATCACAAACAGATGTTTTTGACAAAGGTAATTTTTAACTTGTTAGTATGTTTATTTGTTAGTTAATTTTGTATCTGTGTTTTGTTGTATATCCTAAATCTTTTATTTGATCTTATACATTCATATAAGTTTTATTATTTATATCTATTTTTAAGGTCTGATGATGGCTAAATAGCCGAAACCGGTCACTAATAAAGATTTTTTTGACAGTTTCGACTTTGAATTGAATATAACATTAAGTTTTTACCATGGGCCACCACTCTGTGAAAATGAACAGACTCTTTAAGATATTTATAGCAAAGTGCTTGGTACTTAGAAACACTCAAATTCTTCTGAATAGACTAAAAAAATATAGCAACATCTATCAAACTAAGACATCAGTATAGTACCGTACAGCCGCGATTTTAAGAGCTCTAGGGGCCCGTAGTTCGGAAAAGTTCGAATCTTGTTCGCAAGGGCCCGGGAGGCTTGGGGCTCGTCGGTGACTTACCCCGATTGCACAGACGTTAAAATCGCCACTACTGATCGAAATAAAAAACGACGTCTAGTTGGCTTGGAAATGACAATCGATAACATTCCCCATAAATTTTACATATAAAATGCCAGCAATCTTCATTTCATAGCTATCGCTGACGCCGTTTTTTTCGATCATACGATATAAATAAACAAAAACTAGTCGATGATGTTGCCTATCATAATCACACCTATAGTCGTACTTTTTTAGTAAATGCAACGAACGGTGCCGAACACCGAGCGCGATTTTTCGGAGCAATTAACCTATAAAACTACATTTTTAATTTATAGGTTATTTGCTCCGAAAAATCGCTGCTACTTGTCACAGTGCTTTTATTGGAGCAGTCGCAGAGCGTAGCAGCTCCACAAAAATCGCAGACTGGCCCACCTCTAGTTCCCCCTCCGTCGCGTCGGATGGTCGGACAAAAGCCGGACAACGTCAGGCGCAGAGATAAAAGGTCTGGAGCGGTTGTAGCATTTAGATGGAGCGGGGCAGCATTTAGGTGGAGCAATTGCACCATTTAGAAACTTGAGCAATCGCAGCATTTAGAAGCTTGAGCCCAAACAATCTGCGTAAACTTTCGCACTTCGCACCCGGCAGAAATTAAATATAAAAGTTCAACAACCAAACCGAACCAAAATTAAGATAGGCCAAGTCATATACAATCCTAGATACCATACGGTCGAAAAAAAAACGACGTCAGTAATGGAAATGAAAATCGCTGTTATTTTGTACGTAAAATTATATGGGGAATGTTATCGATCGTCATTTCCAAGCCAACTGCATGCCGTTTTTTTCAATCAACGCACATTTTGAAAATAATTTTGTCAACATACAGGGTGATTCAACATATTTTCAAACCAAAGTTTTATATTTTTAAATGGAATACTATATATTTTAGCTCAACTTTCGTTTAG